TTTACTTCTTTACGAATTTTATTAACTAACTTACCATGACGCACCCATTTTGGTGACAAGCAATCACAGTATCTGTCGTTACAAGTCTTCAGCCATAAAGAGGGCAATGTCTTGTTGTGGTAGTGGAATATCATCATGACAATTGCAGGTCCACCATAAGGAAAGTCAGATCTATGCTCATAGTGTGCTATGTGCCAAACCACAGTGTCATTCTCGTCGGTGTCATTACTACTGAGTTTGATCCAAAGTGTCGGTTCATCCGGCTTGAGCGCACTTTTGCCACGGTAAATGAGAGGTGAGCTTATCATAGCCTCTTGCTTGCTCGAGAGGTAAAATATGGTGACAAAGACAACTGCTCCAGAGAATAAGGAGAGAAGGAGACTGTAATACTTCAAGTTGTATGATCCTTGCCTCGATACTTGCTGCATTTTAGTATAATAGGCTGGCACAATGACTGTAGGCTGGGGAATAGAGACAAAGCTGGCAGCACAACGGTGTACGGAGGCGGATTAATTGGATCACAGATATTTAATATCTATATATATGGGTAGGGCTCGCTCAGACTCGCCCCAATAATATATCTATCTATGGCAGTATCAAAGTTTAAATGTTTTCGGTTAGCAGTAGCACTAGCGGGAGTTCTTAGTTTTTGCTTGATAGTTTCATTGTCATCAAAAAGAACGGAATTTAGAATCATTAGATCTGTGAGCCCAATAGTGAGTTATTTAGATACTAACACAAGCTAAAGGCCTTTCTACACTAGCACTTCTAATGCGCATTGAACTGGTTTGGAACCGGTTCCAGTCATTCCACACCTGGTGCGCATTGACTTCAATGCCAATTAACTGAATTAAGCCAAACCACTTCCATATGTGGTTTGAATGCGCATTCAATTCAATAGATATTAGAATAATAATAATTAGATAACCAATGGCAGCTGGATCTATAAAAATATACATGATCTTGAAGATGGTGTGGAATCACTTGATGCGCATTGATGAGCCGACTTCTGGAACCGGTTCAAGTGTAGAAAGGCCTTAAGAAACTAGTAATTAATCATGAATGATGATGACATCATCAATTAATTTTTAATACTTAATTGAAGTAGCTGACCAGCAAACAACAAAAACTTAAAACATGTATATATACACGGACTTTGGCCTAATTTTTGAGAAACTTCAAAAATGTCTAAGAATTTAAATTTTGATCAGAATGAGCTCAAACTTTCTACACAGCTAGGAACATTTATACACATCAGAAAAATGGAGAATCTCCTTTTTCCAATTTTGACATTTGGCCCAAGACCATATACTATCTACAGTAAGACTTGTGGCTACAACAAATAATGGATTAAGACCTCTTATCTGTTTTAAACAATATTCATGGAGACATATTTATGATAACTGGTCAAGCAAATGCACCCTTAAGGTATTTCGTTGCATGACTTCCATGTTGTGGTCTCCATAGCATTTGGAAACGTCATTCATATCATTAACATCAAACGGAATTATTCATGAGTAGTTTAAATTACCTTATGTACCACACCAGGAGTGCATGATGAGTAATAATAGTACTATCTGCTCTAGTCTCACCCCGCCCCTTTGAGGCGAGACTATATCTGCTCATCATGACTCCTGACCATACCAATGCCAATGCACACGAACATAATGCATTGTTTTATTATTTATGTAGAGAATTGTTGCAGATGAGAAGTTACACCATCCAAGTTACGATTTAGATGACCTGTGGTTTAAACTCAGCCCCATACATTTGGTACGTTATCATATTTGACTCATGCAGATCTCCTTGAGTTACATATTTTCATTTAGGTGAGAAGATTAGGTTACTTTGATACACGTGACAAGACTCATATTTCAGTTGTATTCATTACTATGCTTGAGATGAGAAATGAAACCAGACCTCAGTTATATGCCTCTTTGATATACGAGGGAAATAAAGAAGTTTGTGTTCATCTTGAAAATTGGGTTGAAGCAGGTACATTCAGACTTTGGGATCATGAATATTTTTTCACTGTTTTATATCGTACAAGAATCAATAGCATTCCTACCAATGAAGCTCCACTCCATGCTTTTATTGGACATAACTGCAGTAAAGACAATGGATACATACCAATACAATACAACAAACCAAAGGAACGTTTAACTTATGGCGTCTGCCTTCATAAAGGACTTTATGATCTCAACGAACCAGAAATACTAGTTGATTGGGTTGAACTAAACATTCTATTAGGAGCTGAAATCATAACGGTATATCTGCAGAATGTCTCCGAGTCATACTACACTGCTATGATACCTTATATTAAGAAAGGAATAGTGAAGTATAGAT